GTGGGATTTATGAGGAAATTGAGATTACACTGCAGAAAAAAAGATGATTGGTTAAAATATGGGTTGAAAATAACAGTGAAAACAGTGGCTTTCGACACAGCCCAAATAAAAAGAATTTGGCTCATAATTAGAAGTAAAAGGAAATGACATTCAGAAAAGATATCAAACTTTTCTTTTAAGTGGAAAAGGGAAAAAATGGAATGGTACATGAGGCAAGTCTGTATATGCAGAAGTTGCATGCACATTACTCAAGAAACAGTTGCGGTAGATGTAGAGCGGTGGCTTATGATCTTGTTTTCAATCATATATACATGGCTCCCTCTTAAATCACAGTGGTTACTGCAATGCCAGCAAAGCACTGGCCACAACAAGGACAGTCACATACAGTATCATGTGCTGCTGCATTACCCATGATACTAAAGCTGAACATTGGGATCCTGGAAATTGTCCAGGGCATCCCCGCCCTCCCACCAAGGTATGCATATTTCAGCCACAACGCAAGTACTGGTGCTAGCATCAGTTTCCTGACCCTCCACATTAGGCCCAATGGTGGGGAAACACTGTGAAATATCCCTGTAATGCTGGGGATCAGCACAATGGTACTTGATTTAAGGACACGAAGCTTCAATCGCCATAAATTAGCCGTTGACAGAAAAGTGGTAAATGTAACAGATTTGGATTTTGGTACAGCATTTGATAGACATCACTAAATCCTGATCTCAAAATAAATGTAAATTATCTTAGGTAATCATAGACTATCAGGGTTGGAAGGGACCTCAGGAGGTCATCTAGTCCAACCCCCTGCTCAAAGCAGGACCAATCCCCAATTTTTGCCCCAGATCCCAAATGGCCCCCTCAAGGATTGAGCTCACAACCCTGGGTTTAGCAGGCCAATGCTCAAACCACCGGTTATGAACACTATCACATGGACTGAGAATAAATGGAACGACCTTAAATCACAAGTAATTACTAAAAGGCAAAAGTATTAAGTTGGAGAGACGTGTTTGGGCATGTCATCAACAGCCATGCCGTGTCAGGAGAGGCTAGAAGACCAATTAGCAGATGTGGATAGGAAAGGTCACACAGGCCTGAACAGAGTTGTCAAGCTGAGCAAGCATGGTGACCTATTTACACTAACTCTCCAAACCTTTTCACCCATTCCTACTTATTGTAGAGCCAAGTATACATTATTTTAAAATATGTTACAAATGATGTTATAAATCACTTGTAAATGGGGATGGGGGGCATCTAAAGGGCTGCATCTCACTCACACCGATAGCCTGATGGAAAGCAATGGGACTACTTGCATGATTAGGACTAGTTAAATGGCTAAGGGTTGCAGGATGTGATTCAAAATGATTTACACATTATAACATGCTAGAAAAAGCAAATCATATTTATTCATTGCAGACAGTATTACTTGCATCATAGCATCTTCCTTGTAACCCCGAAAGTGTTCCTCTAAGCCTGAGAGAGAGCTGAATGGACCATATCTCCAGTCTTACATTCTCTTTGCATTTTCCATTTATAATACAGTACATTCATGTTTATTGGTCCAAGTTTAAGAGACAAATCTATCACAGGAATAATAAGCTGACCAAATACACAACACAAAAAGTGATAAATTCAGACATTCCTAGTAGGAATATATTAGAATCAGCATCCTGCTCTTACAACCACTGCCAGCAGTGAGTCAGATTCTCCTACGTCTTACGCTGAGTGGCATCATCCTCTGTGAGTAGCCCCATTAAATAAAATGTTGCTGCTTTGTACTCTGCACACATCTTGGGCCTAAGCTAGCAGCTCTTAATCAAGTAAGTAGTTCCATTGAATTCAGGGTTACAGTTACTGAGCCTTTATTCAGAAGTAAATCATTTACTCATTTAGGAAACATTGTTTCACACTGTGGTGTCCTTTAGGCTTCATTTTTCCTTCAGTTTTTCCCAGGTTAATTATCATTAGCCATTAAAAATGCTAAAATATTTAAAAGGGCATCTGTTACAGTTAGAAGTTCCTTGATGTCAATTAGCAGAAGCTAAAGAAAATATTCAGAAGTGCTTTAGGAAGTCAAGTTTTCCTGTTCACTGTCTGTAAAATGATATCCCTAAAGTCTCTAGTGCTATACTCTGAAACAGAATTAATTATTTCCTTTTAGAAAGTTAGTGGCCCATGAATGGAACATGTTGAACCTCACAGAATGAGGTTAAAGAATCTACCGACTTGGAGCTCCAAATGTTACCTTGATATAGTAAGAGAGGGACTGTAAGGAAAATTTAAGAATAGAAGTACATTTTAATTTACACCCAGCAGAGTGAGATACTTAATGTGATTAAAATTCTGGGATGGAAACCAATGTTCATCTAACAGGTCTGTACTTGTCAGGAAAAGAAAGGTGCAAAAAAAAATTCCTCATTCTGTTCTAATCCTGTGTTCAGCTAAGTGAAAAGATGAAGTCAGCTGAATGAATGCTGAATAACTGAGCAATTAGTTCATGGCAAGAGGTTAACACTATAGGCTGTTGAAGTTTAAGGGGAGACTTGATGATAGTCTATAAGTACCTACATGGGGAACAAATATTTCATAATGAGCTCTACTATCTAGCAGAGAAAGATATAACACGATAAAATGGCTGGACTTTGAAGCTAGACAAATTCAGACTGGAAATAAAGTGTACATTTTTAACAGTGAGGGTAATTAATCATTGGAACAACTTACCAAGGGTTGTGGTGGATTCTCCATCACTGCAATTTTTATATAAAGATTGGATGTTTTTTCTAAAATACGTGCTGTAGGAATAATTTTGGGGAAGTTCTATGGCATGAGTTTCACAGGAAGTTAGACTCTCAGTAGTTTTCAACCTTTTTTCATTTGCAGACCCCTAAAAATTTTGAATGGAGGTGTGGACGCCTTTGGAAATCTTAGACATGGTCTTTGGATCCCCAGAGATCCATGGACCACACATTGAAAACCACTGTTTTATGGTAACACAACCTTTCGCTGATCCTTTTGACATAGCCTGCACACCCCCAGCGGTCTGCGGACCACAGGTTGAAAACCACTGGACTAGATGATCACAATGGTCCATTCTGGTCTTGGAATCTATGAACTTATAATGCTTGTTGTATTGTCTGTACGATTATCTGTGGTACTTTTTGTGAAAAGATAACAGCAATATTCATAAATTAGCAAGAAGCATTTGTAAATATGGCTGCCTCTTTACAGAAAAAGAAAAGTGATTTTGTTTGGGTATTATAGCTGCAATAGCACAAAAACTAGCATTGTAAGTGTAATACCTATGATGATATTAACTTTCAACTTGTGCTTGAAAATTATTAGATTTCAAGTTCTTGGTGTCTATTATACTGCAATGAGATAGGGTGCCCCAAAGGACTTTGATTATAATGATATGCAGTGTTATTTTAGCCATGTCAGTCCCAGGATGTTAGAGACAAGGTGGGTGAGGTAATATATTTTATCGGACTAACTTCTGTTGGTAAAAGAGACACTAATAAAAGTTGGTCCAATAAGATATATTATCACCCACCTTGTCTCTTTGATTATATGATGCAGAGAGATACTTTTTTATTTTTTCCATGGTTTGTAAAGTAAATACATTCCCTAGTGGGATAATAAGTGATGACTGTAGTGATGAGTTACAGAGAGGCCAAGGGGAAGTTGAATTTTTGGACAGATGGTGGGATTTAGAAGTAAAAAGGGCAAGAAACTCAACATTTTTTTAATAGCAGTACCACCTAACAACTCCAATAAGAGAGCCCCATGCTGCTTGGTGCTATACAAACAAACACATAGAGTCTGCCCTGAAGAACTTATTGTTAACATAATTGTTACATTATTCCAGGCATAAACATCACTCTTTTGTGGAGTCACCAGCATGCAGGAGTACCAAACCTTGGCTGGTAGCATGCTGGGTGTCCCATGGCTGACACAGGCATTGAAGGGTACTTCAGCTACTATGGCTGTGTGGTTCCCAAAATTCACTCCTCAATTGCTTCCCATATTCCTTCTCACAACATTTGGTCAGATGTTCTTAAAACCCCAGCTCCTGGAAGCATGTGATCAGGTAATCTCAGCTTTCATTTTTTAAAATTAAGTTTCTAGCCCTCGTTGTTGTGAAGAAAAGCTTGAAAATGTGACCCAAGTGAATCTTAAAGTCTCCAAAACAGAAGGCAAATAAAAATAATTTATTATGTTGTTAAAATTTCATGATTTTTAAGCCAATTGCATGATCTTTGAAGAGGCTGACATCCTTTTTAATTGCTTGCACTATTACAATTGCCTTGCAAATCTCACAGAACTTTTTCCTCCTGACCACTTGTATCCATCCTGAGCAGGAGGGAAAGAGTAGCAGCTGAAGCATGGGTTGATGCCTGGAATGACTGGTCCTCTAGGTTTCCAGGCATGTCAAGAGCAGTATTTTAGCCTCCTCAGGCTGCACTTTCTCCCCCAACAGGAGATTACCTACTCTCACCATTTTTTTTATCTCAACCCCCATGCTAGCTTGTGTTGTTTTGAAGCCTCGGCTGCAGGAGTCATGTGAGTACATGAGCATTTTAGTGTTCATGTTACAAAAAACAGTGTGTTACCCATTCTAGTGAGTGCAAAGACGGAAGATATAAGCCCACCAGGTTAAATAACAGAAGGCAGCTAGAGAGCCGCCGCCGCCACCACCCCCCATCTCGATTTTTAAGCTAATCTGGTGATTTGGGGAACCGAGGCGTGGGGCTGTATTTCTGCAGCGCAGGCAGACAGACACCCTCCGGGCCCGCCCTACGGTGTTGACAGCGGCTCTGACCCAGCAACCCTCCCGCGCTGCCAGGCCTCCCAATGGAGCCTCAGCCGGGGCCCAGCGCCGCTCCATCTGTATGTGGAGCCCCAGCACGAGGCGGCCGGTGGAACGCGCCCTCCCCCTTCTTCGTCACCACTCCGCTCCCAAGCCCCCGAGCACAGAGGTGGAAGTCCGAGCCCAACCATAGAGACAGCGTCTAGGGAGGGATAGAGAGGCTGCTGGCGGTGGTACCCGGACGCATGCGCACTGGTGGCGTCACTCCAGACTCAGGCGGAGAAGGAAATATGGCGGAGCCGGAGTGAGTGGTTAATTTGCGAGCTGGGGCTGGCGGGGAGGATTCGTTTCCATCTGCGGGGAGGGATCGGGAGGCCCCGGGGCGCTACCGAGAAGCGGCCGGTGGGGGGGAGGGGGTCCGTTCGCCGTTGGGGCGGCGGGAGGGGACGCACGTGCGCGCGGCGTGGTGGGTTCCCGCGGGCGGGAGCGGGCCGGGCGGTCCCGGATCTGCCCGGCGCTGAGCGCGGGCCGAGCTCGCGGGCCAGGCCCGGCGCAGCGGGGCGGGGGCCGGGAAGAAGCGCTGGTAGCCGGACTCTCCTGCCCGGGCCGGGGCTGATGCGTGACGAGTGTCGCTTGCCGTGTCCTCTTGCGTTAGACCCAGAAGGAAGATCCCCCTGGTGCCGGAGAACTTGCTGAAGAAGAGGAAGGCGTATCAGGCCCTCAAGGCCACCCAGGCAAAGCAGGCGCTGTTGGACAAGAGGAAGGTACGGGCCCTGCGTCTGCGGGCACCCTGCGCTCTCCCCGCGACAGGCCGGCGAGAGCAGCGGCTCCTTTTCTCGTGTCTCGGCAGCTTGTCCCTAAGGCGGAGGCTGCGAAAGCACATTCTGCAGGCGGGCCCCCAGGCGAGGCTTTTGTGGGATCTTGCCTAGGGAAAGGGCTCTGTGCGTTTGTGTAGTTCAGTAGAGAGAGTGTGTGGGGGGGGCGGGGTGTTAGATGTGGGAAGAGGCACAGTTTCTAACGCACAGGCTATGGGATTGCTGTAAGGCAGTTGGGGATGGCTGTTGTAATTGCTATATGTATCCGTGGTCTGGGGATTTTATTTGTGGTTTACCTAATTGTAGTAACAAGCTGACTTGCCAACCCAAACCTGTCTACCCTGGATAAAGAAGTGTTGCAGCAAATATGTTTGGTTCCACATTGTGGTTTATGGACTAGTTAGTTGTAGTCTGTAGAGAGCTCGCAGGTTGCACAGAAGCCCCACCCCTCAAAGGGACTTAGGCACCTCCCTTTGACCCAGATTTAAGAGTCTATGTCTGGTCAGGATTCACAATCATGACCCCTCTCCTGGAGTTTCATGCCCAAGCAATCATTTTTCAAGAAAAAATAGAGGAGGAAGTGATGCTATCTTTCTCTTCCCCATCCCCATGTCCAGTAGTTAGAGCACTTGCCCAGGATGTGGGAAATTCAGGATCAGTACCTCAATCTGCCTGATTCAGATATCTCACCTTCGAGGTGAGTGGCATAATCTTCATCTAGTGGGTTTTGTAGAGTGGCTATCTCAGGGCATGGCTACACTGGAAACTTCAAAGCGCTGTCGTGGGAGCGCTCCTGTGGCAGTGCTTTGAAGTGTGAGTGTGGTCGCGCGTGAGCACTGGGAGATCCACCTCCACAAGGGGATGAGCACTGGGAGATCCACCTCCACAAGGGGATTGGCTCAGAGCACTGGGAGCCTGTTTAGACTAGCGCTTTAAAGCACTCTGACTTGCTGCACTCAGGGGGGTGATTTTTCACACCCCTGAGCCAGCAAGTTAGAGCTCTATAAAATGTAAATGTAGCCAAGCCCTCAGTCTCTCCTGTTGAAGTTGTTGTTACTTTGTATGAAATAATTACTCATTGGGACAGAGAATGTTTGATTGATTAGAGCAGTGGTTTTCAAACTTTTTTTCTTGTGACCCAGTTGGAGAAAATTGTTGATGCCCGCAACCCAAAGGAGCTCAGGGCTGGGGCAGAGGGTTGGGGCGGTGGGCTTACCTTGAGTGGCTCCTGGTCAGCAGTGCAGCAGGGGTATTAAGGCAGGCTTCCTGCCTGTCTTGGCACCGTGGACTGCGCTGCGCCCCGGAAGCGGCCAGCAGCAGGTCCGGCTCCTAGGCAGAGGTGTGCAAGCAGCTCTGCGTGGCTCTCACCTGCAGGCACCACCCCTCCCCAGCGCCAATGGGAGTGTGGAGCGTTGCACATCCCCATGTCCACCCTGCCTAGGAGCCAGACCTGCTCTGGCTGCTTCTGGGGTGCAGCACCGTGTCAGAACAGGTAGGAACTAGCCTGCCTTAGCCGGTCAGCACCGCCAGTGGGACTTTTAACGGCCCCGTTGGCGGTGCTGACTGAAGAGCTGCTGTGATTCAATGCCTTCCATTCTGCGACCCAGTACTGGCTCACGACCCGCAGTTTGAAAACCCCTGGATTAGAGCACTCACTTATGAGGGGGGCATGCTCCATAGCAGGGATTTGAACCTAGGTCTGCCACACTTCATATGAGTGTCCTGACCACAGGGCTCAAGGTCATCGGGGACCACCACATCTTCCATCTCCATTTTTGGTGTGTAGTCTATCCCCCAAAATCAAAACCAAGCATTTTGGACATTTCCAGTATGTGTCTGTTTTTTCTTTTGACTGAAATAACTTGCCAAAATCAGCACAAATTTGTGAAATGTTTTGGTCAATCCAAATATACATTTTTCAATGGAAAAAAGTTTTTGGCTGAAACATTTTGCCTAGATTTAGTCATTGCACTCATATGTGGCTTAAATTGGGGTATCTAGATTATTGCTGACCTATGGCTTTGTCTTGCAGTATATTTAGCTGTGGAGCCTTGCTTTGGGCTGCACAGGGAGGGCTCCATTTAGTTTCTCACTCTGTTCAGGTATATGTTCTGCACTTCTCCACATACGTTTTCCTAATTTGCTCAGGTAAAAGGTTCAGGTTCATGAGCTAGTGGCTCGTGAGTTGAAGCTAATGACTGAGGACTGTACTGTGCCACACAGCACCGCAAGATTGTTTCTTGAGTTTGACCTCATGCGCTTCAGAATTTTTTGACATCAGGCCCTAAATCTCATTTTCTTCCTCTGACCACATGTACCTTTCATATACACCTTCTGAGAGAGATGATCATCTCTCATCTTTCTGTATTTAGCACCAGAAGGGGAAGCAGATACAATTCAAACGTATTGAGACGTTTGTTCGAGATTCACGACGCAAACACAGAGATGAGGTCCGGCTGAAGCGCATGGAACAGAAGCCCGGCCAAATGGTGCTACCTCAGGGACACAAGCTGGCCTTTGTTGTGCGGATTGCAGAGTAAGGAACTTCTTCTTTTGTACCATCTCCATCCTTTTGCTGGTTTCCTTTGTACTTGCCCAGGCTCATTTCCTGATCTACACTTGCTGCAGTGAAAAGGAAAAGGCGGGGGTTATCAAGATGTAGCATCCTACAAGTGATCATGGGGTGATGCCTGGGTGGGAGAAGTACACTTACCACTGTGGTGTCTGTAATTCAGGATTAAAGGAGTGAGTCAAAGGGTGCGGAGAGGGATACAGATGCTGCGGTTGAGGAAGATTTTCAGTGGCACATTCATTAAACTGACTCCAGCGTCACTGAAGATGCTGCGCACTGTGGAGCCCTATGTAGCATGGGGGTGAGTACTCCTCTGATTTTTATAATACAGTGGTAAACTAAATATTCATTGTGGCTTTTTTATGTAGTTATTTTCCTCTTGGTTAGTTAGCTCTTTCAATTCAGTTCACAACTTGGTGTCTTGATATCTAAAAATGTGCTTCAAATACTAGCACTCTTTATTCTATGACATGACAGTGAGGTAGGAGATCCCCTTGGTTAACTCTGTGCTGCACTGTTAATACCTCCCGCAGTAACAACCAGGTTTTTGATTTTGTACAGACATCCCAATCTGAAATCTGTACGAGAGCTCATCCTGAAACGAGGTCAAGCAAAGATCAACAAGAAGAGGGTCCCTTTGATAGACAACACTCTGATAGAGGAGCATCTAGGTGAGGAAGAAGACCTTAAGGCAGTGAACTGAGGGAAGGGGGACGAGTGTTCCCTCTAATTTTTCCCACCCATGTGCAGAATGAATTTTGTTATGTGCACCAATATGGAGGTGATGTGTGACACATGACCTTCATATTGGTGTACGTAACAAAATTCATGTGGTGGGGTGGGGCCGAGGGGTTTAGAGTGTGGGAGGGGGCTCAGGGCTGGGGAAGAGGGTTCGGTGTGAGGGCTCTGGCTGGGGGTGCGGGCTCTGGGGTGGGGAAAGGGATGAGGAGCTCAGGGCTAGGGCAGAGGGTTGGGGTGTAGGGGTGTGAGGGCTCTGACTGAGGGTGTGGGCTCTGGGGTGGGGCTGGGGATGAGGGGTTTGGGGTGCAGGAGAGTGCTCTGGGGCTACGGCAGGGAGAGAAGACTCCCCTCAGTACTCTCTCTCCCCGCAGCAGCTCTGGGGCTGCAAGGTAGGTGCCCCTTCCTCGGCCCCAGCAGGTCCGGGCCGCCCCAGCTGCGGTAGGTTGGGGGCCCGGGGAGGGGTGCCCCTCCCCCAGCTGGTCCCCAGCTGTGGCAGGTTCATTGAGCTCCTGCGCGGTGCTAAATAGGTTGCTGTGCAGCTTACAGGGAACTTACGTGGGGTCTGTAACTTAAATGGTTTGTGATATATGGGGAGACTGCGACTCATAGAGAGAAGATGGAAATGTGAGGGTTGTCTGGTGAGGTGCAGAAGGATTTTATAGTTGTGCATCTCCTTATTTATTTTATTTATTTATTTATGCCCTTCCTCCCCCAGGAAAGTTTAATGTAATTTGCCTGGAAGATCTTATTCATGAAATTTATTCAGCTGGGCAGCATTTCACAGAAATCACTAACTTCTTATGGCCATTTCATCTCTCTGTTGCTCGCCATGCTGCACGTAACAAAGTGGGTCTCCTCAAGGAGATAGGTGAACCTGGGTACCGAGGCGAGGGAATCAACAAGCTCATACGTCAGCTGAACTAGTCAGGTGAGGAGTGGTTATTTCCTTCATGTACCATGCTGTTGATTGCTGTGGGTTCTGCAAATTATTCATACCATCTATTTCTTAAAAATATCCTGTACTGGCTTCAGACTTGACTGTTGATTGTACAGAAATGACTGTCAGAGCAGTGGGAAATTGGAGATCTTGGAGTGAAAAGCTAGCAGCTTGTCAATGTGGAGATATTTAGATTGCAAGCGAAGCACTTACAACTCTTCATAGAATATCAGGGTTTGAAGGGACCTCGGGAGGTCATCAAGTCCAACCCCCTGCTCAAAGCAGGACCAATCCCCAACTAAATCATCCTAGCCAGGGCTTTGTCAAGCCTGACCTTAAAAATCTCTAAAGAAGGAGATTCCTCTTTGGGTACCCTATAAATAAGACAGCACTGGATTGATATTTCTTAGATTTGCCACTGTATTTTCTTTTAGACATCAGCAGTCTCACTGAACTCTTCCTTAGAAGCCAGACACTTTTTGTACTTGTCACGTTCTTAACAAAGCTGATATATCTCTTTTCCTCCTTGTCCTCTAGGGTCCATATGAGGATTTTAGGTTTTTGTCTCCTGCTCCATGCTGTACGTTTATTCTTGCAGACTGTTCGATCTGAGCAATGTGACATTACATCTCCTGTCTACTAACTACTTCTGCCTTCAAGGAGAAGTCACGCATGAGGGAGATGGATTTACTGTTCCTTCTCTGGGAAGAAGTCACATTGCTATCAAATGTGAGCAAGAAGTGACTTGAACTTCCAGGGAGCAGAGCTTCCCTGTACATCTGATGAAACAGACATCACTAAACCAAATTTTTACTATTGTTGGTTTTACACCATCTTCCTTTTGAAGGATCTGTCCTTGGAATGAACTTGTACCTGCAAACAAGGGGTTTGGAAGATGGGGGTTCCCCCACCATTATTTAATCCTTCATTGTAGCTGACTGTGCCTGGGGATCTTGATTCAGCCCTCCCAAACAGAATCCGTTTGTCTCTAGTGATGCTGCACTTTCCTTCAGCTACAAATTTCCCTTAGTATCACAGTTGCCTGGTAAGATGTTTATCCTTCCTGATGCACAGTTAAGGCTGAGGAGTGTATTTTAAATACATCCCTTAGTCACTGTTCCTGGGCAAGCTGCTAGCAGTAAACAAACTAATAGATGTTCTAGAATTTCTGAAATATCCAGACTATGTTTAGCCCACTGCAAAAGTGGTGATCCTCTGCTGCTATATCATAGGATGCCTTTTAGATTCTCATAAATCAGCCTTTTCAGGGACTCCCCATTTCCCTTAAAGGAAAACGTATTTGACCTTTACCTCATTGATTAAAGCTGTAAAGAAGTCCTTTCTTACTCAGTGACTTTCAAATAAATTGTTATCAAACTCTGCTGTTGATTGAGGTTAGGGTATGTGTAATAAATCAAGTAGGAGAGAGGAATTCAGGAGGGTAGTTTTCTTTGGTAAAACCGAGCTGCTGTCTGTACTGAACATGAGAATTGAGTATCCCTAAACCTAACTAGTAGTGGCAGAAGAAATTGGAAAGCAGTGCTCTGATTGCAGTATGAAACTAAGTGGGATTACACTCATTGGAGAGGAGTACCTATGCTGATTTGCAGTCATTTGCAAAGGAAGTGCTTCTGAGCATGGCTTGCTGCTGCAATTGCCAATCTGACCCATTTGGAAGGGGAGCGAATGGTGCTCTTAGAGTGTGTGAAAAGAGGAAGGAAGAGACCACTGCACATCAGTAAAAATGACTTTTTCACATAACTTGGGGAACAAATGTTAGGGCATAGATAGATTTGTCATAGGCTGAAAACAGTGATATTGGTAGTACATCTGTTTTCAATTCCTCTCAAAGTGGATGTGTTCATTTTTTCTCCATCTAATAGAAAACGATTCTTGTGCAGATCTTATTGAAGATTTGTATTGGACAGTAAGTGTCACTCAACTCTTGGGTTTGACTTAAGTCTTGCAAGATCTTAGGGAACAGCATGGGTTAGCGTACACTAGACTCAGAATAAGGAGAATTGTGTTTTCTCCCATCTCTGACTGACTTTGTGGTCTTGGGTAAATTGGTTCCTCTCCGTGCTTCAGTTTCACAATCTGTAAAATGAGAGCAATTATATCTGAGATCTATGGATAAAAACACTGGAATATTGCTATGGATGCATAAGAACAAGTGAAGAAATTTTTTACCTTTTTTACGGTATGCTTTACTCCTGTAATGCAAATTTCCTCTACTTGAAGTCTTAAAGGTGACCTGTAAAGCTCTTGAATTTTTCTGTTACTGTCATATAGCATGTAACTCCTTTTTTTTTTTTAAAGACAAACTTCTTTCTGTCTTATTTCTTCTTCCACACATGACATAGGCCTTAGCCACTTGTAACTTCATTTTCTGTTGAATAGTTCCATCAGAAACCTCATGGATGTGTTAAATTAGTAAGCTATAATGTTAACTGCTTTAAACATGTCCACATGGAGAATTTGCACAGGTTTAACTTAAATTAGTTTTTAAAATGATGCAAATCCCTGGGTGGATGTTCTTTCACATTGAGTGGTCTATCAGTTTAGGATAAAACAAAATAAACCTGGTTTAAATCAAAATAAGTGTTCATACAGCCTTTTTGCACTGATTTATCTACATTGGTTTAAAATTATATCAGTTAAAGCATTGCAGCTTTCTAGTGTAGACATGCCCTTAGTCTCAGGCTTTTTGGCTCCCACCCTTGGGTTGAAGGCAGTAATGTATTAAAGAGTGAGACAGGACAATGGTTTTTGCATCTGAGTATGCAGAGAGCAATGATGGAAAGCAGGGAGCTGAGCCTAAGAACCTCTGTTTTGGGATTCCCTAGGGCAAGTATTGAAGCTACTTTATTTTTAAATCATGAAAGCAGGGTGTTTGACAAATATCAAGCAGAAGTGGATCTTCCTAAACCATGGGTATTGTGAACAAATGCAGATAACCTCTTAAAGGTGATCGGGATTCTCCTTGGACTATAAGGTTTTCAGTAAAATTCTTAGTCTAGAGCAGTGAATACTTATACCACACACATAGAGAACGCCAACAGAGACACCAAGCGATAATCTGATTTTTTAGATCATATGTAATTAACAAAATATCTAACCCAGCATTCAGATTTTACTGTATTTCAATACAGCTTGATCCTTCATATTCTCAGCCACAGGTCAACCAATGGGACTCTGATTCAATCAGTGGGTCACTGCAGATTAACATCATATGTTCTTTAGGGTGCAGTGTATACACAAAGTCAGATCCAGTCACAGCATAAATGTACTGATGAATTCAAAACCTAAACTTCATGCAAACAGGTATGCCAAAGCCTTATAAAAGAGAGAGAGGTTCCCCAAGTCAGAATTATTTTAGTGGTAACTATTGAAGTGGTCTCATTCTGTAGACAAATTAATTAGATATCAGTAGACAGAGTATCTACTAACTTCCAAACCAGGCTGGCAGTAGTTGGAAGACCCATAACAAAGTATCAGGCTAAAATAAAACATCTTGAGCATAAATTCTCAATCTGGCTAATTTCCTAGTAGAAAAATGTTTTCATGTACGTGTATATATTGAAACATGACTGGATTCGTAGTGACTCAATCACTTTATGTGAAGGAGAAAGAGAACCATCGTGAAAAAGAACTGCCGCAGCATCTAAAGAATGCAAAGAGCAATTGTCAGCTGAGATAAGCTGAGCAAATTGAGTTTGGGTGTGCATGTGTGTGGGGTTGGGCCCTTATTTTTTGTCTCAAGTGATAGAGCTTCTTTGCCTACAGACTGTGGGGTCCAGGTTTGAATCTTCCTGCAGTTACAGGGCACAGGAGATACACTCCTCAAGCATGACCAGCAGCTGCCAGAACCAACATGGATGAAAAGGATGTTGTCCATACTTGGTCAGACCAATGGCCCATCTAGCCCAATATCCTGTCTTCCAACAGTGCCAGCACAAGATGCTTCAGAGGGAATGAATGGAGCATGGCAATTATCAAGTGATCCATCCCCTGTCATCCACTCCCAGCGTCTAGCAGTCAAAGGTTTAGGGACATCCAGAGCTCAAGGTCACATCCCTGACCATCTTGGCTAATAGCCATCGATGGGGGGGCCCATCCTCCATGAATTTATCTAATTCTTTTTTAAACACAGCTATATTTTTAGGCATCACAATATCCCCTGGCAATGAGTTCCACAGGTTGGTTGTGTGTTGTGTGAAGAAGTACTTCCTTGTTTGTTTTTAAACCTGCTGCCTATTAATTTAATTGGGTGAGCCCTGGTTCTTGTGTTATGTGAAGAGGTAAATAACACTGCCTTATTTACTTTCTCCACACCATTCATGATTTTATAGGTCTCTTATCATATCCCCCGATAGTTATCTCTAAGATGAATAGTCCCAGTCTTTTTAATCTCACCTCATACGGAAGTTGTTCCATACTCCTAATCATTTTGTTGCCCTTCTCTATACTTTTCCCAATTCAAATACATTTTTTTGAGAGGGGGTGACCAGAAATGCACACAGTATTCAAGGTGTGGATGTACTATGGCTTTATATATAGTGGCCTTTATTTTTTGTCTTCTCTATCCCTTTCATAATGGTTTCTAATGTTCTGTTAGCTGTTGTGACTGCTGCTGCAAATGAGCAGATGTTTTCAGAGAACTATCCGCAATGACTCCAGGATCTTTCTTGAGTAGTAACAGCTAATTTATTTTATATGCATCATTTAACATGCATAGTTTTTATGTTTTCCAGTGTGCTTTACTTTGCACTTATCAACATAGAATTCCATCAGCCATTTTGTTGCCCACTCACCCAGTTTTGTGAGAGCCCTTTGTAAATCTTTGCCGTCAACTTTTGTCTTATCTTGAATAATTTCGTATTGTCTGCAAATGTGGTCACCTCACTGTTCACCCCCTTTCCCAGAACATTTATGAATATGTTGAACAGCACTAGTCCAGTACAGATACTTAGGGGACCCTGCTATTTACCTCTCTCCATTGTGAAAACTATTTATTTATTCCTCCCCTTTGTTTCCTATCTTTTAATTAGATGAGATTAATCCATGAAAAGACCTTCCTTCTTATCCCATGACTGCTGACTTTTTTTAAGAGCCTTTGTTGTGGGGCCTTGTCAAAGGCTTTCTGAAAGTCTGAGTACACTGTCATCTGGATCACCCATGTCCACATTCTTGTTGACACCCTAAAAGAATTCTAATAAACTGGCAACGCACAATTTCCCTTTACAAAAGCTGTCAACTCTTCCCTGATGTATCATGTTCATCCATGTGTCTGATAATTCTATCCTTTACTATAATTTCAACCAGTTTGCCTGGTACTGAAGTTAGGCTTACTGGCCTGTAATTGTCAGGATTACTTCTGGAGTCTTTTTTAAAAATGGTGTCACCTTAGCTATTTTCCACTCCTCTAGTACAGAGGGTGATTTAAGCAGTAGGTTACATGCCACAGATGATAGTTCTTCAGTTTCACTTTTGAGTTCCTTCAGAACTCTTGGGTGAATACCATCTGGTTCCAGTGACTTATTACTGTCTTATCAATTTGTTCCAAAACCTCTGATATTGACACATCAGACTACGACAGTTCCTCAGACTTGTCACCCAAAAAGGATGTTTCAGGTATATCAATCTTCACTGCAGAGGATGTGAGGGAGACTGATGCAAAGTATTCATTTAGCTTCTCCACAATGATCTTTTCTTCCTTGAGTGATCCTTTAGCATAAGGGTAGGCAAATTATGGTCTGCGGGCCATTTTAAGCCAGTCTGCGAGCTCCCACTGGGGCGCCGGGTCGGGGGCTGCACCATACGGCTCAGCCCCACTCCAGCCAGGGCGCCGGGTCGGGGGCTGCACCCCGGGGCTCCTGGAAGCAGCCACATGGCGCCACTCTGGCACTAGCAGGGTCGGGGGCCACTCCAAGCTTAAGAGCCGGAGAAGGGACATGCCACTGCTGGGAGCCGCTTGAGGTAAATGCCGCTGAGAGCCTGAGCCCCTCCCCATGCCCCAACTCCCTGGCCCCTTCCCACTCTCCAACCCCTCAATCTCAGCCTGGAGCACCCTCTTGAAACCCAAAACTCTCATCCCCAACCCCACCCCAGAGCCTGCACCCCCAGCTGGAACCTGGACCACTTCCCCACCCCCAGCCCTGATCCCCCTCCTGCCCTCTGAACCCCTCAGTCCCAGCCCAGAGCACCCTCCTACACCCCAAACTCCTCATCCCCAGCCCAGAGTCCGAACCCCCAACCAGAGCTCACACCTCCTCCCTCACCCCAACCCCAATTTTATGAGCATTCATGGCCCACCATACAATTTCTATTTCTCGATGTGGCCCTCGGGCCAAAAAGTTTGCCCGCCACTGCTTTAGCACCTCAAGCTCCAGTGGTCGTTTGTCAGACTTCCTGCTTCTGATGTACTTAACTTTTT